GATGGGGTACCCGGTGAAGTCCTCAAGAAGGTTTTGACTACCAACCCCTTGATCCTTTTGAGCATGTACAACGCCTGCCTGGTCGAAGGGGTTTTCCCCTTGTGCTGGAAGACAGCTAGGCTTGTGCTTGTTGGGAAGGGCAAGGGAGACCCAGATCTGCCATCCTCTTACAGACCTCTGTGTATGTTGGATACGGCTGGCAAAGTCCTCGAGAAATTGATCCGTTCCCGGCTGAATTCAGCCGTTGTCGCTGCGGGGGACCTCTCCCCTCGTCAGTATGGATTCAGGACGGGGCGATCAACGATTGATGCGATTGATGAGGTGAAGCAAGCAGTGATGAGAGCTGAGGATTTTAACCACTACTCTCGCAGGGTTGTGCTGCTCGTAACGCTCGATGTGCGAAATGCATTTAATTCGGCGAGGTGGTGCGATATGCTGGACGCTCTGGAGAACACCTTCCACGTGCCGGCATACCTCATGCGCATCATAGAGGATTATCTCCGGTTTCGCCTCCTAACGTATGACACTGCAGAGGGCCCGCGGACGATGAGTGTCACTTCTGGTGCTGCCCAAGGTTCCATACTCGGCCCAGACCTCTGGAACGTCGCTTATGACAGCCTTCTGAGGTCTGAAATGCCTGAGGAAACGGTCTTGGTTGGGTACGCAGACGACGTTGCAGCTTTGATAGCTGCACGTAGCGTTGAGCTGGCTCAGCTAAAACTAAACCGAGTTATGCGTACCATAAACGCATGGATGGCAGACCACGGTCTCTCACTTGCTCTGAGCAAAACCGAGATCGTGATTTTGACAAAAAAACGGATTGACACCATCGTGCCGTTGAGGGTGGGAGCCGTCGAGGTTCAAACTGTTCGTTCTGCCAAGTATCTTGGGGTCATGGTAGACAGCAAGCTTAGCTGGCGGGATCAGATCTTCCGAACAGCGGACAAGGCCGCTAGGGTGGTTTCTTCTCTTAGCCGGTTGATGGCCAATGTCGGAGGGCCTCGGTCCAGTCGTAGAAGGCTGTTAATGTCTTCGGTCCAGTCCGTACTCTTGTACGGTGCGGAGGTGTGGGCAGACGCACTAAATAAGGAGGCATACAGGATGCGGCTCGCCCGAGTGCAGCGTCAGGCAGCACTGAGGGTAGCATCTGCCTACCGAACAGTGTCCGAGCCCGCCGTCCTGGTGATTGCTGGAGTCATCCCCGTCAAACTTTTGGCGCCGGAGAGAAAGGCAATTTACCGGCGCCGTGGGGAGGACGAGGCACGAACAGAGGAACGCACCCGCACCTACCAGCTGTGGCAGGAGGGCTGGGAACAGGAGACACGGGGACTCTGGACCAGGCGACTGATACAGCAAGTCCAACCTTGGGTTGATCGGCGGTACGGAGAGGTGGACTTTTACCTTACCCAATTTCTGACGGGACACGGCTTTTTCCGGTCGTACCTGTTCAGGATGGGCAAAGCCGTGTCTCCCGACTGCATATACTGCCCAGGCATTCTCGATGACGTGGAACATACATTTTTCCACTGCCAGCGCTGGGAAAGGCCCCGCCTGGAGGCTCAACAGTTAATAGGACTGCTGTCGGTGGACACGGTCATACCGATTATGACGGAGGGTGAGGACAATTGGACCTGTGTGTCACATTATATCCAGGGTATCCTCCGCGCCAAGAAGATCGACCTTGACCGGGATGCGGTGTAGGTCATAAAGAATCAAAATGCCAGAAACGGTGCGAGCCCTGAGGGCTTAGGTCACATGTTGGCCTGACTTGAAGTAATGTGACAAACAATTCCAGGTCTGTGTCCAACAGAGTAGAGGGGGTTTTTTAGTGAGTAGTCTGATAATTTCAGGAGTCTCACACTACAGGCTGGCTACCTGTGTGCGTAAAAGCATTTTCCCTCCTCTCCCTAAAAAAAAAAAAAAAAAAGTACTCAATCAAACCTTTGCATTCATTGCACGGCAGACTACCAATTATCAGACAGTGATGATATTTTAATTTCACAGCTTGTCAATTTTCATTGTACTCAGTTGTTGATATTGTAAGTTTTAATCAGTAAAATTTGTGTTTGTCAACAGGATTGAATATATTCTTTGTGACATGCACCTCAAATCATGCATTTCGCTTATTTCTTCAGTGCTGGCCACTAGTCCAATAGATTACAGAATAGAACTGGCCTTTGAAGAGGTAGGGGATGCGACGTTGCCACGTCGTTCTTGGCTGGTGAGCTGACTTTCACCTAGTGTAGTCGGCACCCCCCCCCCCCCCCCCCCGACTCTATCTTCCCACTTGTAGGGCACTTGTAGTTCAACACTACAAATTAATAATTTATTTGTTATTGGTGGTATCGCGGTTAGTATTGTCATATTTTTATATCGTATGGAACACAAAATTCATTCACATTATTATGGTTTGATTATTTGCTTCACAGTTGTGTTTAAAATGGCTCAATCAGCTACCAGATGCAGTTTTTTGAAAAATATATAAACATAAAATTAATAAATTTAAATTGAATCAATAATCACCGTAACAGTTATTAACAGTAAATTTATATGACCAAATAATTTGTTTAGCAGTTCTAAAAATCAAAAATATTGCTCAGCTTATTGTTTGATACATGAAACAAAATTAACATGGAAATGAAGAGGATACAATCTTCCGTATTAATTATTCATTTGAGATGGGGACGCCACCTATGAGCGTATTTTTACCTAAATATGAGTGAAGGATGAGTGTAGAATGGAGTGAGATGCCTTGCATATCTTTGTTACTGGCCTGTTTCGAATTATAAGCACACTTTAAGGCAATTTCTTGACAAAACAAGAGGATGCTCGAAACGCACAGGTCGGCTGTCGGGCAAAGACTGAGTGCGTGGCACAACTTGGCAACAGTGGATCTATTCAACAACAAAAACTTGTAATAATATAGTTTGTATATTTCTGTTCATAAAATGAAGGGAAACATGATAAAAATAGGCATGATTAAATGACTGAATAATCAATATGAAATTCAAATGGTTAATCAGTAGTGGACTTTTTAGTCTCTCTGAATATTCAGCTTCACTTATATTTATCAGACTGTAAAGGGCTCTTTAGAGCTTGAACTTGATTATTCCTGTGATTAAAAACTAGTATTAATGCAGTTATTGACTCTAAACTACCAGTTTTAAGAATTAATTATGTTAAGAACCAATTTTTTATTTTAAATTTCAAAATTGATATTCTTACAACCAAAATTGTTCTATGAAAAACATATAAAAGAATCTTTGAGGGGCACTCGAGTCGTATGAAATAGATAAAGTAATTTTAGTATTTTTTATTTCTTTGAAGTATGTTTAATTATTGTAAACTTGTTTAACTAGTTAAATTCTAACTATAAATTTATCAAAGGTAAAATGTTTACCCAGTTTCTGTTTAACAGAATACTTTCCCTAATAAAACATATAGGGAAAAACTAGGCATAAATAGAGTGTAAGATCAGACCTTACTTTTATCTGTAAAAAATATATATAAAAAAATATGTCTTTAATTTTTACTTTTTTGATCTTACTCTAAACTATGAACAACTCAATAACTAGTAAGTGCAACTCAATACTTACTTCGTGTACCCACACACTTTCATTACAGTAATAATCAGTGCTTGATTTGCGGCGGAACAGCGTTCCGGTACCTCTCTTTCGGAAAGATAAAAACATTGCCATTAGTAGGTACTAATTACATTAACCCTTCAACTGGCACAGCGACTATAATAGTCGCGGTAGTCAGTGTCTCTAGTGGCAGCGACTATAATAGTTGCATTTTGCAAGGTTATTTTAAATTGCATATAAACAGTTAAAAACGATCGCTAACTTACATAAATTGTATACCAATCGAAAGACGAGGTTCTAAACTTTCATTTTATCACATAAATAACCTTTATAACACTGATGGATCAATATAACTTAGTGATAAAGTGGAAGAAAATTTCACGCGAAGTCAGTTTCTCTATGTAAGCATCACAAAACTACCGAAAATGGATATTTTCAACAAATAATAGCAAGGGGTATTTTTACTCTACGGAACAGCGGGTGGTACCACTGCATCCGGCAGTTCATTTTCTATATTGAGATATATAAATTATATCGATATCTTTATAAATAACTCAAATAGAAAAATAATACCTCAGCCACCTTTTTACGTGTATTTGAACTGGCAGCGCGACTATTATAGTCGCGGTAGTAATTCACATATGTTTCAACGAAATTTATAACTTTTGTTATAATGACATATACCATCTGATAGCCCATGAAATTCTGTGCATAGTGGACTTTTGTTGCCGTATGTTGCACAACCTGTACCAACGTCATCACTTGTTGTTTACGTGCAATTTATCTTCTTCACCTGTTCACAAGGTTATGGGAATTTCACCGTTTTTTTAGTTTTTTGGCCATAACTCAGCCAAAAAAAGTTATAAATTGAATGTTTTTACTTTTTTATGTACAGAAATAAATTGCTAACATTTTGTATATCTTGGATTTCATATAAAAAAATTTCTGCATTTGCAGCACAGTTTTGCTTTCAAATTTTCAAATTTGAAAAAACAATTTTTTTTGTTTTTTTCTCTTTGTTTCAAAAATTATTCTTCCAACTACTTGCAGTTTTACCATTTTCAGATTTTTCATTATTTTACGAACAATTCAAGTATATGGTTCATATGGTTTACTTTATTAGTTCAATTTATATGAATTTTCAAAAATATGTCTGCAAAATCACTAAAATGGCCTTGCCACTACAGACTTTTCTATGTGCCAGTTGGAGGGTTAAATAGGTTGAAGTTCCGGCACCTCATGTTTTACAAACCAAGCACTGGTGATAATTGTGTTTAAAGTAGGCCAATACATTAAAAAACCATGTCAACAAAAAGTATAAAATTTACTTATACAAAGTATAACAACGATTGAAAAACAATCAAGTAGGTAAACATTATTTTTAAAACTAATATAAATTAAAATTAACATAAATAACAATCTACGTAACCAGTAATTTATTAATGAACAACTCGAGGGTAAAAATTACTAGGCCTATCGATAACAAAAACAAAGATTTTTTTACTAAAAACCTGGTAGGCATGTTTTTTTTACCATCTTACAATCAATTTTCACAGAATGTATCGAGTTGTCTGGGCAAGTTGTAGAAGCGAATGCCTGGGAACTGCCTCTCGGTAATTTCAATGCCCCATTCGATGCAGTGTTCAGGCACGTATTGCTGTGCAGACTCAATGATGACAATAATCCCATCCACGTCAGTAGGGCAAGCTACCAATACATCTCACATTAGTATAGTAAAACTCACTATAGATAGGCTAGCTAGAAAGTTGCCTATACTATCCTAAATGTTAACGGTAAAACATGTCACAGTACAAGATATATATTAAAAACATTTTCTATAGAATAATTCAATCAAACAGCTTTTGGGATTAATAACTTGATTGGCTTTTTTGGCTCATGTATTAACATTATCCTCACAAATAATTTGTGGTGAAAGTGAGATAATCAACTACAGGAAGCATGGAGGGCTTGCTTGGCAAGCAGTCAAAAGTGGCGGTGCTTCAGAGGGAGGACATGTCTCTAGTTCACCCCCTACGATGACTTGAAAAACAATGTTGGTACCTTTGCTGGGGAAGAGGACATCAAACCCTCCCCCACTGGCGCAAGCAAGCCTTCAAGTCTGATGAAGGAATGTCGGAGGAACCCCTTACACCTATGCTGCAGTTGGAGAGCTTGGGTATGGTGCTCCTGGGTCAGGAATTTCTCTTAACCAAAGCCGGCTCCAAAATATAGAGGAGACCAACGCAACACTGAACTCCTTCCAGACACAGAAATGTGTAAATCAAGGGGTCAAGAATGGCTAGGCCAAACTCAAGGATGACCTTTGTTTCGTCTTCGATTGCTTGCTGGTGGGTAAGGCGGTCATGGAGAAATTTGCAGAGTAAGTGATGTCCATGCCCAACAATTTGGCACCGTATTTTGAGAAACGCTGGAGGCCTTCCACATCAGAAAGTCTTCCAAAAAGACCATATTTAATCTCAATCTACCATATTTCGAGACACTGAGGTAAACTGTCAACTCCAACTCCGTTCTTGAGAGATTGAGGTTATGTCTTGCTTAATCTTAGTGATTGCAAAAGTACCTTAACTTATATAAACTTAAGTATTAAAAATAAAATTTACTATGGATGTTTGTTTTAGGGTGTAGCTAATTATAAGTTTTGGCATATCCTAAATACATTATTTTTAGGATAGAGTTGGTAGACCTGGTCTGCTTGTCATGTTGGTGGTGAGGATCGCTCTTCAGTTAAAGCACTTTTACTCTTAAATTATGTCTACTATGTAGTGTATGCTCAGTGTTTTAACATCGCATCCAACTGGACTTCATTTCTGTTAACTTGGAATTTCCCGTAAGTCTACATGTGGATTGTTTGTGTCTTGCTTCACTAACTTGGGCTACAGACTGTCAGGACGAGGCAACTTGTTCGTGACCTGTGCGCATCTTTTCCGCGCAGACGTCGCAGGATTGCCAACCGCCACCACTGGTCGGGAAAACTAACCCACTCTGCCCAACTTCCGCCTGCCGTCCCGCTACCCCTGACCACCGAGCGCCTTCAAGGACTGCGGCTCTACACGCCGGCCAGTACCGCCACACGGATTGCGTAGCTCTGTTTGAAGGCTCACTCATAATATCCAGAGCCGAAGGATCGTTCGCTGAAGTAGTCAACCTTCTCTATCGCTGCAGATTGATGCTCACCAATAGTGAAGAATGTTTTTTACTTTCATTTATGACATTCATCCAACTTTCTTTTTAATATACTGTACTGTTTTTTTATTGTAAAATACATGTTATAATCCAACTAACCTTTGTGTATGATAATTTAAGTTATTTATAGTCTGAAATCTACCTTGGTAAGGTTGAGCTTGGAATTGTAACTTAATTAAGACGATTAGAAGATGAATATTTTTGAAAGCAGTTGTTTTTCTAGTTGTAATCTTGACTCAGTAACTGAAAGTTCTCTAATCTCTATAGCTTCTCAGTTAAACTCGCTCACAATAAACAATCCAGATCTTGAATTAAGTGTATTGATTAACAATGTTGGGCAGTTAGTTAAAACTATAGATGGCCTTTCAGAAAAAAACATTGATCTAATCTCTCAAAATGAGGATCTAACTTGTGAAATATCCAATTTAAATGGTTGCTTGGAGAACCTTAATAATGTAAGACGAGCTGAGATGAACGAGTCTTTACACATCCAGGACACCGTTGTTGAGGAAAATGAGGCTATGAGTAGGGACATTGGTGTTTATAAGAGTAAGATTGTAAAATTGCAAACTTCGCTTGAAAGAGTCAGTCAAGAAAATGAATTGTTAAAAAATACTATAAATAGCAACAATGTACCTATACCTAGTTTAAGTGTTGCTAACGTAAATAATGCATCGAATCCTATTTTAATTGATAAAGATAAGTCTTTAAGGCAATTATCTCTTAAGCTTGCTGATGCTATTGGAGAAAAACAAACGATGGCTTGTGAACTAAAAAGTTTACAAACTCGACTTAAGACAATAACAGCAGACAAATGGCTGGATGACTCAATTATTCAGTCATACTTTTCATCCTTTGGTGAATGCAATGCAGCTGTCTCCGCTAGAGCACTTTTTGTGGGTCCAGCTACTAGCGAACTACTAAAACATGAATCCTCTGACACTGTAAATCAACAGTTAAAGGATCTAAAGTTTTCATCCTTTGCGTATGCATTCTTTTGTATCAATAACAACGAGAACATAGACTGGAGTATAGATGATGCTACATCTACTACTTCTGGTAGGGGCTCACACTGGAGTCTTTTGTTTGTAAACATTGTTGATAAAGTAGCTTACCATTTAGACTCCTTGGACGATTTCAATCTTAAACATGCCTTGCTTCTGTCAGATAAATTAGGCATTAATAAAAACAACTTTCACTCAGTGCGCTGCCAGAGGCAAAACAACCATTTTGAGTGTGGTTTGAATGTAATATTGAATGCTAAAGTAATCCTTTTTGGATTCTGCTTAAAAAATCACCCCAGTTTTGTAAACTGGTACAACCAGTTATTTTTCATTCACATAGCAAGTGACAAAGATTCTCTGCCTGATATCAATGTAGCATTATCTCCCATTGTAGAAGCTGTCAGTCAGAATATTGTTTCTAAAAAATCCAAACCCCTATGTCTAAGTTTTAAGAAGGTAAATGGGAGGGAGTGGATGGTTGTCAAAAAGAAAAATGGTAAAATGCATAAGACCCTTCCAAAGTTACAACGCATAGACGTTCCTACCAAGAATACATTTTCAGTTCTTGACTCCTTGCCCTCCTCTGATGACCCCTCAAACCCTGAGAGCACCACTTTGCCCTTAAAGCACAAACCTGATCCAAAATCCTGTAGGGAAAAGAAAAAAACTGTTCCTAATGGTAACTGTAAAAATAATCCTGTGAAACCCCTGTGCACCAATCCTAGTAAAGAAAACAAAAAAACAAATCCTAGTATTAATTACAATAAGACGTGTGTGAAGATTATCAGTGACAGCCATGGTAGGTTCATTTCTGGTATGCTAGGAATGAAAATAAAGGAAAAAGAAAATGTAAATGTGTTTGGCTTGGTAAAACCTAATGCTAAGTACGATGAAATTCTAAAAAGTGCGATATCCGAAGCAACTACTATGAGTAAAGATGACACTGTTATTCTAATAGGAGGCACAAATAACTTTATAAACGGACGCTGTACTGATTTCACAGTTGGGCTGGGTGATTCCCTGGGTTCGTTGTCGGGGCCGAGGGTGGTCCTGGTTGGAGTCCCGTTTAGGTACGATCATCCATCCCTAAATCCAGAAATTTCTAGAGTCAATCTCCTTCTAAAAAAACTTGCTAGTCAACACAAAAATACATCCTTTGTTTGTCTTGAATCGTTTCAGCGCAATCATTATACCAGACATGGACTTCATTTTAACCAAGAAGGAAAGTTACGATTGTGTAACGTTCTACATGCCGCTATAAATAGATCATCCCCCACTTCATCCGTAATGCCCATCAACGTAGTTTCAATAACCCCTGTAGCAAGTGTAATTCTGAACACTTTAGATAAGCCGAGCGTTGTTCATAAAGGATCCTCTAAAGAAAAGTCCCAACACAATCGCACATTCATCAACAGTAATTTTTTAGGAATAGCCCAGAAACCCCCAGAGGTCCCTTGGGCACACTATCTCAAGCGGGTGTTAAATGCAAGCCGGTGTCCCTAAAGCTAGCTCACCAGAATATAAGAGGCCTCTTCAGCAAGTTAAATGAAACAGAAATCTTTCTGGAAGAAGTAAGCCCCGATTTCATCTGTTTTACAGAACACTCTCTCAAAGAAAGTCATCTTCAAAACCTCTGTTTGGAAGGCTATAAGTGTCAATCTGCATTTTGCAGATCCACAAAGAAGGGGGGTGGAGTTGGTATCTGGAGCCGGCCCAATATAAAATGTCAAGCATTAGAGTGTGAGCCGATTGAGGGAATCTGTGAGCTGGCTGCGGTTTCTGTGGATCTAGCCGACAAAGAAAAAATGTTGATTATTGCATGCTACAGGCCTCCAAATAATTATTATAATGAGTTTTTTGACACGATTTTAGAATGTCTAAACAAATACGTCCATAAACATGCAAAAGTAGTTATCATGGGAGATCTTAACATTGATCTCTCTAAAGAAAAATTTGAAAGTCAAAGACTTGCCTCATTAATGAAATGTTTTAACTTAGATAACGTGATCAAATCATATACAAGAGAAGCCTTGGGCTCTAGGTCCTTAATAGACCCTATCTTCACTAACGACGTGGAGGCAAAAGGCTCAGTCATGGTTACCACTTTGTCAGACCACCACGCACAAGTGATCTCCATAAAAACTTCTCCCCCTGAAAACATTAATGAAATCAGATACAGGGTTAGTAGGAGGTTTGATGAGGCAAACTTAAACGTTTTCAGATTCCACCTTTCTAATGAAACTTGGCTAGATGTATTCAGTTCAGACGACATGAATCTAAAATACAATTTATTCATTGACAAAGTAAAATACTATTTCGACATATCTTTCCCAAAATTGACAAAGAAGATCATAAATAAAAAAATTAGGAAAACTACCCTTAGCCCTCAAGCTTTGAATATTAGGAGTGAGCTATGCAGTCTTTATCACAGAACAAAGGATCTAGAGTCAACTCATTTCATGCGTGAGTATTACAGAAGGCTAAAATGTCGCTATCGTT